GCAAAGTCTTGGTACAGCACTGGTGCTCACCTCCCATAGTATGGACGAATGTGAGGCGTTGTGTACGGAACTTGCCATCATGGTTTACGGTAAGTTCCTGAATATTTCAATCACTTTAAGGGAGAAATGGGTCCGGTATTTCTTATTTCGGAAATTTCGCAGTTTTGCAAGCCCTCAGAACTGTGTTATTATCTTCAGAATATTTCCCCTCACAATGTTCGGGCTTCCTGGAAAGATCATGCTCACAGGCTTACTTTCAGGAAGATTCAAATGTTATGGTAGTTGTCAACACATAAAAAGCCGTTATGGAGCCGGATACACCTTACTTGTGCGAATGAGGCGGTATGAAGATGCTGAAGGAATCAAAAGTGCAATACAGCGGACTTTTCCTGGAGCAGTTTTGAAGGTGAGATTGGTTTGGGTTGGTAGCGGTGCTTGGCTCTTTGACGATAATCTGCAACTGTTCTATCAAAGGAGCTTTCCACGGTAGCGTCGAAGGTTGTAGAATGTAGAGCTTACCTAGTGAAAAGACAATCGGACCTCCTTTGGGTGCGCACCGCCACACAATTCGTAGCGAAGGATGCGCTTCCAGCGGTCTGTGGGGCCATATTCGCGGCGCAATGGACGCGGCACGCCCACCGACTGGCTAACCACTGGCCAAAGGTCACTGACTTTGGTGGAGAGAGAGAAAGAGCATCAGCGTTGAACTCGAGTCACGGGGCGTTTATCATGATTTTTTTCTTCATGCCGGCACCACTGCCCACCTCTACTTTGATGCTTGTGGGTTACCTTCTGATAGTGCATTCCAAGTTCAAGGGTGCAATTCATTTTTTGGCGCTTCTAGGACCGCTGGCCAAATGATTCTCGTTTTTGTGTTTCATTTATCTGCCCCGCATGCTTCTCTAAAAAATTGAAGTCAAGAACGGCTCCCATTGCAAAGTTCGGTTCTTCATGTGTAAATGCAATCAAAAATAATACCAATCACATAAAATTAATCGATCATGTTCAGGAGCATCACCTTCTTCAACTGAACTACGAGCTGCAAAAACGCGCCGGTATGACATGGTCATCGTTGTTCGACAAGATGGAAGAACTTTCACAAGAGTTCAATTTTGAGGACTATTCTTTGAGTCAAACAACGTTAGAACAGGTACTTCTTGTCGTGTCATAATTGTCGATTAACACGTTCATGATATTTTACTTTTACTATTTTGGCCACGTGGGCCAGACGCGGTTTTGCGAGCGCAGCCCTGTGGAACTACAGCGCGCCACGTTGCCGCGAACTGTCTACCAAGCTAGGCCCACTTGTGAGTACGCGTGTTCAACTTCATTAGCAGAATGATTATTGGATTCGAACAACGCGCTTTCATTCCATGAGGGTCTGGTGATTAATCAAGGGCAACTAGGAACGGTAATAGGACGTACGATGTTCCCCTGCGTGCGATATCGATTGATTGTGAAATTGTTAGAGGTAAAAGGTTCCGATTATACGAGTTACACGGCACGCCGTACATGTGCACACATTCATAGATTAGGATTCACCAAACCCTAGACAGACTGCGTTGGGTATCTGCTATAATACCCTTTTAGTGACGTCCAGCTGCACTTCCAGTTTTAGGCGCCAGAGGTCCTTCTCAAGAATGACTGGAAGCCACGTATGATCTTTACAGCTTGCTCTCCATCGTAATTGTACCACTGACTCAGGGCCCGATCAATAGCAAAAACAGAGCCAAACACAGCGCCGATTTTATCCACAATTATCCTAACAGTAACATCATTTGAGGATCGTGATGCTTAGTCATCCGTAATTTTCACTGACTGATTTCAATTCTTTGTTGATTAGCATGTTGTGGGCTTGTTCATTAGAAACCACCTTGCTACAACTGAGATTTGACCTTATTTTTGAACATATTACCGTATTCCGCAATGAATCGGTCTCAGAAATGGAACATAGGTAATGAAACAATCCGATAATACGAACGTCACGGTGATATTACAGGTTTTCCTCGACTTCTCTCGAGACATGTCCATGTCAAGCGCTGCCGGAGAGCAAAGGAACAGTTTTGACGGATCTATCCTGCCAAGTATGGCTATTGCAAATCGTTCGCCGACACTGACGAATCTCTCGTTAGCCTCAAACAGCCTGGAAAGTGATACTGATTTTACTGCGAAAATCTAACGTAAATTATTTCTCCCCCAAGCACTCTTAGAAGGAAAACCGGTGAAAATCCAGTCGGGGTGGGACACTCCATTGGGTTCTTCAATAACTAGGTAAAGAATGAGAGCGCTCGTGACGCGTAATCGATCATTTGAAGTGTGCTTCTGGTAAGTATCGGTGTGCTGTAGGAAGTACTCTTGAGGTGCTTCCATCGGCTGCAATGATCCAAGGGAGCAGTCCTGAATCAGGGAATGGAGAGCTTTGCTTCGATCTAAGGGTGGAGGAGCTCCAGGGTGGATCACCTGTGCAGAAAAGTGGATGGGATGTGGGCAGGTAGTGTGGAATGTAGGACATCCACCGGTCCTTATCAAAAGTACGCTCGAAATGAGTCGTTCACTTATTATCTTATCTTCGATAGCCCAAAGAACTGCTCTCTAGTACCAAGGATAGGATAGCAAGGAGTGCCCCACTCCCAAACTGGACTTTCACCTGAAAACCTATGCGTGTCATTCAACACACCACTTGTATTGTATGTATCCCTCAAGCTTACCGAATTTGTTTTCACAATTTTGCTCAGGCTATGTAGATCTAAAAAATTCAGCGTTGTTCAAGCGATCGACCAAGTCTGCCTTCAAGCCATAGCACGCTCCCACCGAATGCCCATGAAGTTAAATATTGCTGACGCGCGCTAGGATCAATGTCATGTTTTAGGGTAAAAGTATTAACGGAGCAAGGGCAGAAAGGAGAATGGCCTTACATACACACTGTGTGCACTTTTGAATTTAGGGAATAAGACCCTACTCGCTCGTTATAACTGTTATGTCTACACTGTTAGGTTGAAGCCGGTTCAAACTGTTCGATTATTGAAGATTATTTTTTGGTATTGGTACGTACAACGTGTTGTACTAACAGTATATGCCCGGCCGGAGCCAACAGGCACGTTAGGAGAATTTTTGCGATCGGGACGACTCCCGCTCCTCCTGGTGAGGGTCCCACATACATACAACTAACTCTAGGCCTCCTCATCCAATCAACGGTCGATGGTGTTCATAGTGTCAGAACCTGCTATATTTTTAAAGGGAGCACTCCAGTTCCGCAGCCAGAATTTCTCTGTTAAGGAGTCGTCGGGCAAAGGGGCTGTGGGAGAGGGGGAATAGGACCGCCTGAAAATCAAACAATACTTCTGTATACAATTTGAGTTCTCCGAAAAGTGCACATACATATTTCAACTTCCACCCCACGACCCCCTTTAGAACCACAATAGCGCCGCCATCCGAAAATCACACGTAGAACTCCATTGTTCGAATTTCTCAACGGACGGTTGACGCTAGCCTGATTGCTTCTTCGAGATCGAGAAATTACTGTATAATCGTGACAAGTAAACTGTCAGTCACAAAAGTATTTATCATTTTTCACTTCCAATTCGGGTCCAAACTTTTACTTATATATATTTCTGTAATAAATATTCAATTTTGATAGGCGTCTGTTTGAAGATTTCGAAAACATTTCATTTCCACACTTTTATTGTGTAATCGCTCCGAATAAATGTACATTAAGTTGAACATAATGAGTTGAGACCTCATGTTACAGTCATACAATACATCATATGTACAGAGGTCATTTTAGGAGAGCTTCGGTGTTTCAACAGGCTAACAAAGACCACACGTCTTTCCACAGTACTTCAGACGTATGCTTTCGATCGTACTTGGAATTCACGCAGAAACCGGTCTTCTCCCATTGAGCACACCTGAAAGTTGTAGCGATCGAATGCGATTAAAGTAGTCAAATAGCCTTGAAACGGCTTCCTGCAAAATCGACACGTGACATTTTTTGAATGGGACAATACAGAAATTCAGCGACAGGTTAGGTTAAGAGAAAGCCTTCAAAGCAGAACAAATTATGCCGAAGGACAATGTTCAAGGCATTCAACTGTATTGGGTTGTAAGAGTAAAGCACACAACTAAGGCGTGTCAAAATGTTTTAGGCTTTCTAATTTCAGGGACTCAAAGATTGTTGGAGTTTTTATTCGCACCAGAGTACCTAACGGAGAATCCAAACGAATTTGCTCGACGGTTTCTGGGTAACAATCCTTCAGCGATTAATCCAAAAATTCGTTTTTTACCAGAATTTTTGCGCTGCGCTCTGAGCGGCCGTGCGATGTGCTCTCCGTCCTATGAAAAGTCTGAAGCAGGGTTCTTGAGTTCGTCTCTTTCCCGACAGAAGGTGAGACTTTAGCGTGTAGAGCTGGGTTCCATCGGGTCGGAACATAACATCATAGCGTTTTTTTTTCGAACGACCAAATTCAATCAATACAAGTGAAGCCGTTAGAACAGCGTGTATCACTCGAAGGAAGTTTTTCCGCTCTACAATGCGTTGTTTGTCATTTTTTTCGGTATAATAACTGAACTCAGATATAGTGATTTGGTGTTGGAAGGTCCAGGCGATAGAAGTCGGCGTTTTTACAGCTTCTACTCTTTAATTTACATAAAAACTTGCCAAAAAATGGAAGTGTCTCATATTCATAGTTCTCATTGAATCTTACTCCGATCGATCACTTTTTTGCTCAATTCATAGCCAGAGACAAAGAGGGATTGATGTGGACTTCAAAGAATAGGCTTGGTATTTTTTTTGTTTTGAATCCGCCGATTTGGAATTCAAAAATTGCGATGGAATCGAAGTTGTAGAATGAGAAAGGGAAATCACCAATCGGTTTTATGATTTCGGTTTTTTTGCTCCAAAGGTTTATGCCAAATCTAAGCGCTACTATGTTAGGTTACAACCAATACATCAATTTTGGGGGTACGAGAGTCTAGAAGAGGAGAGCGACTTTCTTCATCTAATAATTGTCCCGGTGGTAACTGTAACCTTTGAGTTTCCGCATTTTTCCATCTGTGGTGTTCCCGAACTTATTGAACCGTCCAGCTTACGAGGTTCCCTTTACGTTGAGTTGCCGATAGATGTAGCGTGCCAGAACCCTAGTGAGTTCAATTTGAGGACTGACTACCGTGATGTAGTTATTTCACTAGTTTTGAGAACTTCATGAAATTTGGTTTCATTAGGAAGAAGACATTGTACCCTTTCACATAGTGCACAGAAAAGAGATGAAAATGGAGCGATACGGAAAAAAGTGGATATGACAACGCGCACAAGCGGTCTTCATAATTTTGCCCACCCTTATAGGCAAGCCCCGGGATTAGCCCAGCTAGTACGAAGGATATTACGAGGGAACTTGTAGTGTCTTCCTACAGAAAGCGTACCACACCCGTCGCACAAAATGCGCGGTTAGGGCGCTAATCGTTAAGGTGCTGCAACCATCGGCCCTTATTGCAACGCTTCCCACCCACCCGCCATTGATGTGGAGATCAGCGCGCTCTCGAACGGAATGCTCTCGTGTTCTGTCTTCTCTGATCGTTTTGTCTCGCCCTCGTACTACATCCGATCTTACTGGAGGTCAAAGCCTCAATTTCAGCGTTTCTGATGGCTTCTCTTGCTTTCTTTTCCACTAGTCATTCGCTTGCATCACTATGATGCCCTCTTATACACCCACCAGTTTTATTCCGGGGTTTGCCTTTAATGTTTCATGGGCAATAGATCCAACTAGAGCCTACTGTATGATGCGTGTGCTGCTAAAGTGGTGATAGCTATTAACAAAACGGTACCAGAAGTAGAAACTTACTTTGTGGTGGTGTCATAGCAACCTTGGCATTTCTTGCATGTATGTGCACAAGCCCGATGCATCAGACCTTCATATCTGGGGTCATTACAGAGTTCCGTCCGAGAAGCACAGTCCTTTGCGAAATCGATACAGGTAGCTAAATAATATAATAAGTCATAGATAGTACATATAAAAAGTTTGAGAAAGCAACATTTTACCTTAAAATCTTAGCAGCAGTAAATGAACTAGAACTATAAATGGGAGGCGGTTGGATGGAGAGAGGGGAGAGCACTTTCTTTGTCCTCCGAAAAGTGGTTATCTCGAAAGCTGCGCTCTAAGGTTGACAAGAACGACAAAA